AATGGCAAAAATATTATCTGTCTCTTTAAAACATCCTCCTCTTCTTTTTGAGAACTAAAGCTGCATTCCTGCCTTTTGTTTATTTGTGCAGCAGGAGGCAGCCCAGCCAAGCACACAGGTAAAGGGGGACTCTGGGTGGAGGTCACCAGATGGTCTCCAGCTGAGATATGACAATCAGGATCACTAGCTGTAGTTGAGCAGTAATTGCCTGAAGCTGAGAACCCACCCTTTAACAGCTCTGTACTGTGGGAGGCCAAGGCCAGCCGATGGCTCAAGGTCAGGAGTTCGAAACCAGCCTGAGCAAGAGAGACCCCGTCTCTACTAAAAATAGAAAGAAATTAATTGGACAACTAAAAATACATAGAAAAAATTAGCCAGGCATGGTGGCGCATGCCTGTAGTCCCAGCTACTCAGGAGGCTGAGGCAGGAGGATTGCTTGAGCCCAGGAGTTCAAAGTTGCTGTGAACTAAGCTGACGCCACCGCACTCTAGCCAGGGCACAAGAGTGAGACTCTGTCTCTAAATAAATAAATAAGTAAAAGCTCTGTATTTCTGCAAATGTGCAGGACAGGGTGGGGGATTTGGATTTTGAGACGAGGTCTACCATTTTTCCACCTTTGTTGGCAAAGTAATTAAACTCTCTTTCCTTCCTCCTGGAACCGCCCATCCTCATTCTTCTTAGGCCTCATGGACAAGGGCTGAGTTTTCAGTAACATTTACGTTAAAAAAACAAACTACTGATTGTTTTTTGTAGCACAAATTCCAGGTGAAGCAGCTAGTCTGGAACAAAATGACTTTAAACAATTGCACCTAGGCATGGGAACAAACGAGTTTCTGGGGCTATGACTCAGGTCCTGTCCTCTTGTCTCTTTAGGCCTGATGAATTTTCATACCTCTTGTACCTGAGACTGCTCTGAGCTGTTGTTAACCAAAGGGTCTGGCTGGGCCATGTCCTGTTGCACAAATAAACAGAAGACTCACCCTGCCCCTCCCAACCACTGGCCTGAGGCAGGGATGCAGCTTTAGCTCTCAAAAAGGAGAGGAGGATGTTTAGGCCATTCCTTCTGTTTCACAAAATCTTGGCAAATAACTCAGGAACTGCCTCTTCTTCCCTGAAAAATCTACTTAAAACTGCTGCTAACCAGAGGGATATTGAGGGCTGCTTGAATCTATGCTCTTGGGCTGCAATACTCAAGCCCAAATAAACTCTCTACTTACATTAATTTTAATTCAACTTCTTTCTTTTGGGTTGACATCCTTTAGAATTATTTTTTAAGCTCTTAAATCTTATTGAAGCATGAATTTTAATTCGTAAAGGAAAAATAAAAATCTCAGGACCGCCCGCCCCCTCCCCCCTTCATTATGCCAAAAGGAAGAACCGGACCCAAAACCGAGTCACACGAGCCCTGCCCTCCTCTCCCCAGTGAGGCACTGGGGTCCTCTGAAGAAAGGAAGGGGCTCAGAAAATGAGTACACAGGTTTGCTTGCTGGTTTGGTGGCCTGGGGAGGGGCGGTGGGGAAGGATCACAGCCCCGAGGAAAGGTTTTCCTTCAGTCCTTTAAGGGTTTTAGAGTCTCAGTAAACCTTTCCCAGAGCAAACAAGCAGGACCTGAGGGCCTGTATCAGAGATTCTCTCCAGATTCGAAGCTCACCATGCCTCCCACCTAGACACGCCGTGCTGCGTCTCTGTTTGGCATCTGCCAGCATCTCAAATTGACAAGAAATGTTTTTGGGGGTAAAATATTTCTTATTTTCTTCAGGCCTAAATAACACCCGAAGATATATGGCCCCCATAAAATGAGGGCAATGGTCATTCTATACCTCTAGGAAAACATACCCTTCTTTTTTTTTTTTTTTTTTTTTTGAGACACAGAGTCTGAGCTTGCCTTGGTAGCCTGGCTAGAGTCGCCCGTGATGTCCATCACGCTCACAGCACCTCCAACTCCTTGGCTCCAGCGATCGCTCCTCCTCCCGGCTCCTCCAGTAACTGGAACTGACAGGGACCTGGTGCCCAGCAGCGTGAGGGGTGTCGAGACATTGCAGCACCTGCAAGGCCCCACCAGTGCAACGGCAACCTAACACTCCGGCTTCTGGAAACCGTTGCTTGCTTCTTGATTGGCGCAACTTTGCATTGTTCGGAACGCCTGTACTGCAGGTGGGGGGCTGCCAGCCAACCATATCTGTTAAAGTCACTGCTCGATCACACGCGTGATCAAGCCACTGCTAGCGTCATGCACATAGGATAAAGGCACGCTGCCAGACCCAGTCGGGTCCTTGCCTGCAAGAGGGACCACTCTGCGTTGGGCTCTGGCGGGCTTGACGCCTGGCTGACCAGAAATAACTCTCTCTTGTGTAATTAATCTCCAAGTCTCTGCTTTTCGTGTCCGGTGGGGCTTGTGGAACGGGTCGGTCTCATACACCAGTAGGCGAGAGGTGATCTAGCCAGGCCTCAGCTGGAGGAGATAAAAATGCAAGGTAGACTGAGGCTCGTAACTGTGTTCCCAATGACAAAGATAAACTATTTCTAAGATTTCTATGATTTTAAAATAGCAATCAAAGTAGAATCAGAAATGTCATTAGAAATATACACAGAGAAAAAATTCTGTTTAATCAGAAAGTTAAGATAAGGATTTTTGTTTGTTTTTGTTTCGAGGCAGAGTCCTCATTTGCTTCTGGGCTAGAGGCGATGGAGGTACAGCTTAGCTACAGCAACCCAACTCTGGGCTGAGCATCTTTCTGCTTCAAGCCTCCCGAGTGATGGCTGACAGGCATGCGCCACCATGCCGGCTATATATATATATTTATACTAGTATATATATCATCTAGTTGGCAATCTAATTTTTCTATTATATAAGAGGCACGGGGTCTCACTCTTGCCAGGCTGGTTTCGAACACTCCTGACCTCCGAGCAATCTGCCCCGCCCTTGGCCTCCAGAGTGCTAGGATTACAGGCAAGAATAGTGTTAAAAGGCTCTCCAGGTTGCTGGCTTCGACAGCCTTTTCTCAGGGTGCTCCACCACTCTTGGCTGTGGAGCATAGAAACTATCTCTACTAATTTAACCAATTTGTGCAGTTTTTCTGATTTTCTGTTTGCCAGCAAAATATACTTTTTTCTTTTTTTTTTTTTTTGAGACCAGTTCTCAACTCTGTTTGCCCGGCTAGAGTGCCGCTGTCATCAGCCTAGCTCACGCACCTCCACTCCTGGGTCAGCGTCACCTGCCTCAGCCTCCCGAGTAGCTGGAGTACAGGCACAATGCGACCCATGGCTCGGCCAACTATTTTCTTTATATAATTTTCCAGTCTGGTCCATTCAATTTCTTTCTATTTATAGGCAGAACGGTCTCGCTCCTTGCTCAGCTGTCTCACCTCCTGACCTTTGTCGCGCCCGCCTCGCCAGCAAGGAAGACCGGCAACTGCAGTTCTTCTGACCGTGCTTTACAAGAGGGTTCCCTTTAGACTATACATCGAGTCGGACGACCTGGCAAGTCATCACACCTTACTATACTCCTAAGGAAGGGGGGAATGATGGGCATAAGCGCTTAAAAGCACTCGACGCGTTTATTACTGAATAGGCCAACGCCAGCTAAGATCCTTCATATGCATACTTATACCGAACGGGCCGATTACTCGTGCGAATCCGCGCCTGACTTGTTTACTACGGCGCCGGAAATCGCGCCATCCTTGTACATACGGCGGTTGTCCGCCGCCCCACCAACTTGAGCACTTCGCAGCCCTCGCGCTTCCAGATGCTAGGATTACCGGCGTGAGCCACCTCGCAGGCCATGTGAAAACTCTTGAACAGCAAGATTTGATGAGCTTCTGAGTTAGTGGATGATCCCCAAGCAGGGAGGGTTGTGCACCTGAACTGCACCGGGACAGAAGCTCTTGTACTTGGGGCCCTTCCAGACTTGGACCTATGTTCCTCTTCATCTGGCTGTTCATCTGCATCCTTTATAACAAACCGGCAAACATAAATGTTTCCCTGAGTTGTGAGAGCCACCCTAGAAAATTAATTGAACACAAGGAGAGAGTTGAGGAAACCCTGGTTTGTAGCTGGTGAGTCAGAAGTATGTGTGGCCTCGATTTGTGACTGGCATCTGCAATGGGGCCATCTGGTGGGACTTAGCCCCCACCCCCTGGGATCTGATGCTAACTCCATGTGGATAGTATCAGAATTAAACCGAATTACAGGCCGGGCGTGGTGGCTCACACCTGTAATCCTAGCACTCTGGGAGGCCGAGGTGGGTAGATAGCTCCAGGTCAGGAGTTCGAAACCAGCCTGAGCAAGAGTGAGACCCCCGTCTCTTCTATAAATAGAAAGAAATTAATTGGCCAACTAAAGAAATATATATGAAAAATTAGCCGGCTGTGGTGGCGCACTCGTGTAGTCCCAGCTACTTGGGAGGCTGAGGCAGGGGGATCGCTTGAGTCCGGGAGTTTAAGGTTGCTGTGAACTAGGCTGACACCACAGCACTCTAGCCTGGGTAACAGAGCAAGACTCTGTCTAAAAAAACAAAAAAGTATTCTGTGTTGAGTGTGAGAGTAGATGGGGAAAATGGTTTGTTTTTTTTTCATCTAGCAGCCATCAATTCTTCTCCAAGGAGTGGATAATGTTTTCTTGGATGGGAATACTGCATAGGTGTAATCTTTGGTTGTAGCGGTATATGAGTCCATCTCAAAAACTGCTATAGGCCAGACACAGTGGCTCACGCCTGTAATCCTGGTGCTCTGGGAGGCAGAGGCGGGAGGATCGCTTGAGCTCAGGAGTTCAAGACCAACATGAGTAAGAGGGAGACCAACCCTCTCACTCCCTACCCCATTTCTACGAAAAAAAAAAGAAAAAGAAAACAGAAAAAAAGAAAAATTATCCAGACATAGTGGCTTATGCCTGTAGTTCCAGCTACTTGGGAGGCTGAGGCAGGAGGGTTGTTTGAGCCTAGGAGTTTGAGGTTGCAATGAGCTACGGTGATACCATGGCACTCTAGCCCAGGGAACAGAGAGATCCTGTCTCAAAAAAAACAGAAAAACAAGAAACAAAACACAACCCCCATAATTTTGAATGTGCTGGTTTTCATGTGTACATACATACACACTGTTGTCATCTAATAGTTGTCGTAATACAATGACACTCTTTTTATTTGGATAGTAATTTGTATGTTAGGAAATGAGTGTTAGTCTTTATATGGGTTTTACCAGTCTTTTACTAACATATTTTCAAAACTATCTTACCAATCCATTTCCTTGAATTAATTAGTAAGAATTAATTAGTAAGAAGGCTCTCTAGAAATAGTTTGTTTTTTAAAAACAAGTACATTATCTGCAAGAACAGTCCAAAGTTTACCACACAACAAGCATTTCTGGATAACAAAGTCCATTTTAGTGTTAATTGTTATATTCGGTCCATTTCGGCAGGAAAGGCTCCAGGTTTTCACAGAGTCTTATTTATCTGTTTTCCAGTTTTCACCAAAGGGGTAGAAATTTTATCAGAATGCAGTTATTAGAACCTTGGGATTTTCTTCTGTCTCCATTGACTGTCTTGCTTTTTTCCAAGATCTGAACCTAAAAATAAAATAGATGCTAAAGAAAATTCGAGACTCTCCCGAAAATGCCAAACTGACAATGAAAAACATTTCTCCCATCAATGAACAAGTAATTACTTGAACTCTAATAACCCCATGAGCATAGAGCTAGTGTTTTATGATTTTAAACACCTAGGGCCATTTTCTCAATTAAGTATAAAACCAACAATTTAAACTCTTTCGGTTTGCCTGAGGAAAAGCTAGAGGGGTAAACATGAACTTCTTCCCAGTTAGAGTTGATTCTGAAGTAGCTAAATCATTAGGAGGAAACAACGAATTAAACATTGGCAGCTTTTGCAGTGGGAGTTCAGTCAGGGAAAAGCATCTATTCACATATAGACTTATCTTTATCATGGCCAGACAATGAAAACACTTTATCTTTTATATCCTCAAAATAGCCATATGAAATATTCCCATATAACAGATAAGAAGACTGAGGTTTAGTGAACACTAAGTGCTTTGCCCAAATTTTCTCTTTTTACATTTTTTTCTTTTTCTTTTATTTTTTAACTTTATTTTCTTTCATTTATTTACTTATTTTTTTCTTTCTTTTTTTTTTAATTTCATAACATCTCTTCTATAGTGACAATTTGCCCAGATTTTTGCAGTGGACTTGGGATTTCAAGCCGGGCAGTTTTACTCTAGACCTAAACCTCTCCTACCAGATCACTAATATTTGAAATGTTTACCATTCTGTGGTGTCAGAGAAAGATATTGGTCTTTGTCTTTGTTCCTAAGACAGAGCTCCTAAATCCATTATAATTTCCCGAGTGACAGAGGTAGTAAGAGCCTTTTTGTTCTAATGAGGCCACTCTTAGCACAGTCTTCCTTTTCTTTTTCTTTCTTTTTTTTTTTAAGACAGAGTCTCGCTCTGTTGCCCAGCCTAGAGTGCTGTGGCATCAGCCTAGCTCACAACAACCTCAAACTCCTGAGCTCAAGCGATCCTCCTGCCTCAGCCTCCCTAGTAGCTGAGACTACAGGCATGCGCCACCATGCCTGGCTAATTTTTTCTATATAGTTTTAGTTGGCCAAATAATTTATTTCTATTTTTAGTAGAGACGGGGGTCTCAATCTTGCTCAGGCTGGTTTTGAACTCCTGACCTTGAGTAATCCGCCCACCTCTTGGCCTCCCAGAGTGCTAGGATTACAGGTGTGAGCCACCACACCTGGCCAGCACAGCCTTTCGATAGCTTCAGAACGGGGGCTGGTCCTCCAAAAGCCTGAGCCTGGATTAGAAGCTTGGAACTCTCAGCCCCACCCTCCTTCTGAGCTCTGGGGAGAGGAAAGGGGCTGGAGATAGACTTAATCCATCGTGCAGACGTGATGAAACCTCCACAAAACCCCTAAACGATGGGGGGCTTGGGGAGCGTCTGAGTTGGTGAACACATACCCCTGCCAGGAGGGTGTGCACCCTCCTCTGTGTGGTCAGAAGCTCCTGTCTGTACCTGGGACCTCTGCAGACCTTGCCCTTTTGTACCTCTTCACCCGGCCGTGCACCTGTGTCCTCTGTGATAAATCGCTAACAGTGAGCAAAGTGTCCTCCCGAGTCTGTGAGTCATTCTAGCAAATTATCGAAGCTGAGCAGGGGAGCTGTGGGAACCCCAGACTTCGTAGCCAGTAGACAGAAACCTGGGTGACCGAGGGACCCGGCACTTTGGGGGTTGCACCTGAAGTGAGTCAGGCAGTTCCGTGGGAGTAAGAGCCCCGAATCCTGTGGAGTCTGATGCTAACTTCAGGTAGTTGGTGTCAGGATTGAACCGATTGTAAGACACCCAATAGATATCAGAAAGAAAGTGCTTGTATAACCTCATAAGCCAAAAAAAGGATATTCAATTGTTTTGCACTTCTTTTTATTTATTTATTTTTATTTTTCCCAATACTTGCAGTATGAGACTGTTTTGAATTTCTTTATTGATGTGGACAAGTAATCTTTTTACTTGAGTATGTAATTTTTTTACTTTTTTTTTCATAAGTATGTTGGACACTTAACTTTCCTCTTCTGTAAACTGTGTATTCTTGTTCTTTGTCAGTTTTCCTACTGAGTTATTTGGTTTTTTCCCACTGATTACTAAGAGCTTTTGTATATTAGGTATGGTAGCCTTGTGTCTGTATTTTGTGTCGCAAATATTTTCCCCTGGCTTGTTGACTTTTGACTTTATGGTTTCTTTTTGCTTTACCAATAATTTTAAAAGTTTAGTCAAAGTTCATGTAGGGTAAAGAAAATAAAGAAAAAAATAAAATAAAATAAAATAATAATTTTAAAAGTCATATAATCAGATATGTCTTCCTTTATGGTTCTCTGGTTTTCATATTATGCTCAGAAGGATCTTCTCTAAGGTTATAAAAATGTTTATGTTTTCTTCTGTTACATTTCCCATTTTACATTTTTAGGCCTAAATTTTTAATCTTTCTGAAATTTATCTTAATGCTTTTTATAAAATTCAACTTTTTTACTTATCCAAAATGTCTAGCCGAATGTTATAATACCTCTTACTGAATAATGTAATTTTTCCCCACTAACTTTGCTGCTCTTTATTAAGTACTGAATTTTTATATTTTCTTGGGTTTTATCCTGAACCCTACTCTATTCCATTGGTTTCCACTCCTGTACCCTCACTGCACTATTTAATTACTGTTTCTTAACAATATGCTTTATTACCTGATGAATCTAGTCTCTGCTTATCACTCTTCTTTTTCAGAACCTCCCTGGCTATTCTGGCCTGTTCATTCTCTCTGAGGAATGTGGGCTTCCTTCTGTCAAGTTCCACTTACCCTTTCACTTTCTGCATCTGCTCCAAGGTCTCCGGGAGAGTCATTCCCAAGCTTTCGGGGAAGAACAGGGTGATGATTCCGTTCAGGACGGTGAGACTGCCCATGACGATGTAGGGCAGAAGCCTGTCGTAAGCACCTGTGGGGACCCAGACGTGAGAACATCAGCTAGACGCAGGCATCGCGGGCATCCTCTTGAGAACCGTTTTGTGAAGCTGGCAAACAGTGTATGAGAGTAGTTTTACAACTGAACATTTTCAGAAGGAAAATGCAAACACAATATCACAGTTTCTCTTTTTCTTTCTTTTTTTTTCTTTTGAGATAAGAGTATCACTCTGTTGCCCAGGCTAGCTTAGCTCACAGAAACCTCAAACTCCTGGGCTCAAGCAATCCTCCTGCCCCAGCCTCCCGAGTAGCTGGGACTACAGGCATGCGCCACCATGCCGGCTAATTTGTTCTATATATTTTTAGTTGTCAGCTAATTCTTTCTATTTTTTAGTAGAGACGGGGTCTCGCTGTTGCTCAGGCTGGTCTCAAACTCCTGGCCTCAAGGGATCCTCCCTCATTGGCCTCCCAGAGTAACTAGGATTACAGGCATGAGCCACCACGCCCAGCCCACAGTTTCTTTTTATTTCTTTCTTTTTTTTTTTTTTTTTTCTTAGCCTTGCCTGAGCAAGACCTCAAAAAATTTGGTTATCAACTCGTAACTGTTCCTTTCCACGGAAATCTTCAGTAAAAGGTGAAAGATTTGTTTGTTTTGAAGAGAAACCAGAGCGTATCGTATCACAGCTTCTTTTTGGCAGACGACATTGACTGTGCATGTCTACAATCCCCTTGCAGTATCGTAAAGTTTTTCATTCTTTCCTATCAACTGGTATTCTCTAAGCTACTAATCATTGGCCAGGCGTGGTGGCTCACGCCTGTAATCCTAGCACTCTGGGAGGCCCAGGTGGGAGGATTGCTCAAGGTCAGGAGTTCCAAACCAGCCTGAGCAAGAGTGAGACCCTGTCTTTACTAAAAATACAAAGAAATTAATTGGCAAACTAAAATATATATATAGAAAAAATTAGCCGGGCATGGTGGCGCATGCCTGTAGTCCCAATTACTCGGGAGCCTGAGACAGAAAGATTGCTCGAGCCCAGGAGTTTGAGGTTGCTGTGAGCAGGATGACGCCATGGTACTCTAGCCTGGGCAATACAGTGAGACTCTGTCTCAAAAAAAAAAAAAAAAAGCCCTAATCACGTGTGACAGATGTTCCAGTGATAGGAGTCTTTGCTACCAAAGTTCTGCCTTAAGGTGGAGGCCACTGGAGATGGGGAAGGGGAGGATCAAGGGGAAGGAGTTGACCAGGATGTACCAGAGGCAGGTTTTGGCCCTTACAGGTCTGGTGTGACCTCTGCTTTTGCCCAAACCAGTGTTCTGCAGTGGAAAGCTAGGTCCACAGAGCCATGAGAATCATTGATTGACTGACTGATTGATTGACAGGGTCGCACTCTGTTGCCTGGCCTAGAGTGCAGTGGCGTCATCATGGCTCACTGCAACCCTCAAACCCTGGGGCTCAAGTGATCCTCCTGCATCAGCCTCTCCTGAGTAGCTGGGACCACAGGTGCACCACCACGCCAGGCTGATTGTTTTATTTTTTGTAGAGACAGGGTCTCACTATGTTCTCAGGTTGGTCTCGAACTCTTGGCCTCAAGCAATCCTCCTGTCTTGGCTTCCCAAAGTGCTTGGATTACAGGCATGTGCCACCATGCCCAGCTGAGAATCTTTTTTTTTTTTTGAGACAGTCTCACTTTGTTGCCCAGGCTAGAGTGAGTGCCATGGCGTCAGGCTAGCTCACAGCAACCTCAAACTCCTGGGCTCAAGCTCAAGCAATCCTCCTGCCTCAGCCTCCTGAGTAGTTGGGACTACAGGCATGTGCCACCATGCCAGCAAGTTTTTTCTCTATATATTAGTTGGCCAATTAATTTCTTTCTATTTATAGTAGAGACGGGTCTCGCTCTTGCTCAAGCTGGTTTCGAACTCCTGACCTTGAGCAATCCACCCGCCTCGGCCTCCCAGAGAGCTAGGATTACAGGCGTGAGCCACCACGCCCAGCCTGAGAATCTTAAGAGGAAAAAAAATCTAATACGTTCAATCTAATTTATTTATTTATTTTTGAGACAGAGTCTCACCCTGTTGCCTGGGCTAGAGTACCGTGGCATCAGCCTAGCTCATAGTGACCTCAAACTCCTGGGCTCAACCAGCCTCCTGCCTCAGCCTCGAGAGTAGCTGGGACTATAGGCATGTGCCACCATGCCCGGCTACTTTTTCTATATATTTTTAGTTGGCCAATTAATTTCTTTGTACTTTTATTAGAGACAGTCTCACTCTTGCTCAGGCTGGTTTTGAACTCCTGACCTTGAGCGATCCTCGGGCCTTAGCCTTCCAGAGTGCTAGGATTATAGGCGTGAGTCACTGCACCCGGCCTGTTCAATCTAATTTATTTTTTAAATTTTTCTTATTTTTTTTTTTTTGAGACAGAGTCTCGCTTTGTTGCCCAGGCTAGAGTGAGTGCTGTGGTGTCAGCCTAGCTCACAGCAACCTCAAACTCCTGGGCTCGAGCAATCCTCCTGCCTCAGCCTCCCTAGTAGCTGGGACTACAGGCATGCACCACCATGCCCAGCTAATTTTTTCTTATATATTAGTTGGCCCATTAATTTCTTTCTATTTATAGTAGAGACGGGGTCTACTCTTGCTCAGGCTGGTTTCGAACTCCTGACCTCGAGCAATGCCCCCCCCCACCTTGGCTCCCAGAGTGCTAGGATTACAGGCATCAGCCACCGTGCCTGGCCTATTCAATCTAATTTAAATCAATAAATGACAAATACCAGGCATATTCTGTGAGACCACTTTGTGCCTGGATTTGATTTCCCTTTTGTAGCAATTATATGTATTGGTTTTAAAAGTAAAGGGAAGAACCATTCTTTCTCTTCTTATGGGCTGTTAGAGAGAAGGGTAATTGGCCCTCATCTTGCTTCCCTTCTGCATAATAGAGAAATTATAGAGGAACAACACATCTATGTATTTTATTTCACCTGAAACATAAGAAAAACATAGATCTTGAAGCTTCCCTAGGGCCTATGTGTTGCTAACAGGAATGGATATTGTGGAGTAGAAAGGTCTTAGACTCTGTACGTTTTTGTACTTGTGGCCCACAACTGGCCCATCTGAGAATGGTTTGGAAGCACAGGTAGGAACAAAGGGGAAGTAACAGCAGTCTGTAGGACATGCTATCTCAGGTGTGGTTCAGGGCAGCAGTTCACAGTATTTTCAAGAAAAATGTTTCTCTTTCTTTGTAAGGCTTCAGGGTATACCTTTTCTGAGAATTCATATGCGTCTTTAGGGGTGGTGTGTGTGTGTGTGTGTGTGTGTGTGTTTGGACCAGTAGGTAATCAGTGGATGACTAGGAAGAATAAGGAGATGTCTACATTTCTCACCATTTCCTTAATGCGGACTAAACTGGGAGTGCTAGATCCTCCTTCACATTGAATATGCTACTGAATCCCTGTGTAGTGTTATCTCAGATGGATACACTGGAGCATAAATACTATAAAAACTAAAATTTTCTGCATTGCAAAAATATCATAAAGTCCAGATGCAAATGATAAACTAGAGAAAATATTTACAACATTTATATAAAGGGCTAATTTCCTTCCATTATAAACAGCTTGCACAAACCAAAAAGAAAAGATGAATAAACCATTAAAGAATGGGTAAAAGGGCCGGGCGCGGTGGCTCATGCCTGTAATCCTAGCTCTCTAGGAGGCTGAGGCCGGAGGACTTGCTCAAAGTCAGGAGTTCAAAACTAGCCTGAGGAAGAGTGAGACCCTGTCTCTACTATAAATAGAAAGAAATTAATTGGCAAACTAAAAATATATAGAAAAAAAATAGCCAGGCAGGGCATGGTGGCACATGCCTGTAGTCCCAGCTACTCAGGAGGCTGAGGCAGAAGGATTGCTTGAGCCCAGGAGTTTGAGGTTGCTGTCAGCTAGGCTGACACCATGGCACTCTAGCCCAGGCAACAGAGTGAGACTCTGTCTAAAAAAAAAAAAAAATGGAAAAAGTGGGTAAAAGGATGGCCAGGCACAGTAGCTCATGCCTGTAATTCTAGCACTTTGGAAGGCCAAGGTGGGAGGATCGCTTGAGGCCAGGAGTTTGAGAGCAGCCTGAGCAAGAGCAAGACCCCCATTTCTATAAAAAATTAAAAAAGTAGCCAGGTGCAGTGGCATGTGTCTGAAGTCTCAGTTACTTGGGAGGCTGAGGCAGAAGGATTGCTTAAGCCCAGGAGTTTGAGGTTGCTGTGAATGAGGCTGACAGCACTATCTCTAGCCCGGGCAACAGAGTGAGACTCTGTCTCAAAAAAAAATAAAAAATCATATATATCTATTGTATATGTGCTGTGCAAAACAAAATGTGTGAAGGGCTACTCGGCAAACTGTTAATATTTGCCACTTCTAGGGCTACTGGGAGAGGAGAGGTGAACTTGTACTTTCCCCAGGACATTCTGTGGTGTTTGAATGTTTGACAATGAAAACCTTCGATATTTAAAACCAACTTAGTGAAAGAAGAAGCTGACAAGAGGCATCTCACCGAGGTAGACAAAGTAGGGAGCAATGATGCTGCCCACCCTGGAGGCCATGGACGCGACCCCCACGGCCATGTTCCTGACCGGCGTCGGATACAGCTCCGCCGTGAACACGTACAGCATGGAGAAGGCGGCGGTGATCCCGAATTTTCCCAGCATGGCCAGGCCAATGGACAAGAAGTAGTAATCTGGGAAAAGGACCCAATGAAAACAGGGGTGCTTTTAGAAGGGATAAACTCAGTTCCTTTTATTGTCGTTTTTGCATCAGCGGGAATGTTTTTGCTAACATAAAGATATCCGCAAAATAACACTTTCTCTTCAAATTCCTAATAATTGGATGTGGACGAAGAGAGAGAGTGAGGGGTAGCTTTGTACTTTGCCCCGGTGTTATCCTATGATAGATCATTAATGCATTCATCGACCTTTGTCTACTTGCCTTTTGTTGTAACAGTTTCGTGATAAGTTATTAGCATGTTAATATAGTTAAGTTTAATCTTCAAAGGTCCAATCCTTTCTACCCTATTTGTTATTAGGAAATATCTATTTCTATGTATATGTTACTATGTATCAATAATTTATCAACACTTTATTTTTTTTTTCTTTTTTCTTTTTTTACCCCATTTAAGAAGTTTGATCAACACTTTAATATTAAGAGAAAGACACAAGGGGAAAAGGGAAGCATGTATCACTGTGTGCTATGTAACCACTTTAAGATTCAGACCACAGAATCACTGAATGTGTACTGGGACCAGCGCATAACACCAAGTCTGACACTTGCGTGTATACCTCAGATAAAAGGTTTGAGAGTAGCAAGAAATTAAGAAGCACGAATGTGTCTCAGAGAAAGAGGTTTGAGGGTTTAGGTGAGTCTTTTTATGAAGAGGATGCCTGGGCGTTACTCTTTCCGTGTCGTTGGTGATTTCTGATTCTCCGAGGCTGAGACTCCTCTGTTTGAGGGTAGTTGTTTTGAACACAGGAAATGAGCACTCTACTGTTGGTAACTTATGAATGGCTTATGATAGAAAGGCTGCCTGCGCAGGGAGTAGTGACTCACTCGAGGCTTAGTTAATGTGTGGGTCTTCTAGGGTCAATCGTTAACCTTGCTTAACTCCTTACCTGCAGGTACCAGCTGAATTAAGAGGAGCACGGCGCCTCCCCAGAACAGCACCCCGGCTATGATGTAACGCCGGGGCAGGGTGCGGAGCAGCAGCCAGGCCGTGACGTAAGCCGGAACTTCAATCAAGGCGGAGAGGAAACAGTTCAGGTAGGGATCTCCGTGCAAATTAGGGGCATCCAGAGAAAGAGCAAAGTAACCCACAGAGGTTAGCATCCTGGAAGATGAAAGGAAAAAGGTAAACATGACACAAGATTGGCCTGAATCACTCTAAAATTTCATGGTAGTCGAGACTGTCCAGATGTTGCTGTCCTACAAGAAGCCACTTGGAGGCTGGGCGCGGTGGCTCACGCCTGTAATCCTAGCACTCTGGGAGGCCGAGGTGGGAGGATCACTTGAGGTCAGGAGTTCGAAACTAGCCTGAGCGAGACAACACCCCCCCCCCGTCTCTACTAAAAATAGAAAGAAATTAATTAGACAACTAATATATATAGAAAAAATTAGCCGGGCATGGTGGCGCATGCCTGTAGTCCCAGCTACTCGGGAGGCTGAGGCAGCAGGATCACTTGAGCCCAGGAGTTTGAGGTTGCTGTGAGCTAGGCTGACACCATGGCACTCACTCTAGCCTGGGCAACAAAGTGAGACTCTGTCGCAAAAAAAAAAAAAAAAAAAAAAAAAGAAGCAGCAGCAGATATAAGAGATCCATTCACAGTTGATTTGATTTAGCAAAACTCACTTTAGGGAAAAGAATGAAAGTCTCATAATGCTGCAAAGCACCACAGAGTGCAGACTGAGCATCCGGTCATTATAGTTCAGAGGAGGTCAGAAAGATGTTTTCACCAACTCTGTCGGGTCTTTTCACACACACCAGACCCACGTTGGGCAGCATGGGGACTAATCCAAAACAAAACAGAAAATTGAACTTTGTTGCTCCGGGGCTCTTAGTGGTTTGCACGTTTAGTGGTAAGAGCAGGTGGGTGGGGCTAGCGACGCGCTGGCTGTCAGCTCAACAGCGCCCCCGCCTGAGATGCGTGTGCATCAGCAGCACACGCTGGCGTGTGAGGGCAGAGAAGGCCGAGTGCCCGGACACGCTGGCTTGATTCAGAGGCGCGAGCCCTGCCATCGATCAGATCAGCGCTGACCACAAAACAAAGTGGCCCTAAAAATACACGAGCTGCGGCCTCAACGCGCGAGTTTTTCTGTGCGGCCAGCACGGGGCAGGCGCGTTCTTTTTTTCTTCCTCATGTCTTGGCAGATGTGTTATTATTAAGTCTAGTCCACAAGGCCAATTCCTTATTTCTGTGCTTAAAAGCACTTGTTCGTTTGCTACTGGCAGGGGTAAAAAGCTTGTCCAGCCTCCAGTCCAGGCCGGGGGGATCCGGGTTACTCTAACCTCACTGTTCAAGCGCCCGCCGGCTCCCGGGAGCAGGAGCTGACCCGTACCTCTGCCTCAGGCTCCAGGACATCGTCAGTCTTAATCCCGTGGCTCCAGGAGGGGAGGGACTCCTGTCCCAGGGACATCAGTAACCTCAGTCCCACAGCCTTGGTGTGGGGGGTCCCTTTCCCGTGGGCCCCCGTCCTGCAGACTGAAATATTGGTCCCTGCGGCTGTTTTTCAGAATCCAGCCCCATGAACCGAATGGAGGCATTTCTAAAGAATTTAGAATCGTTTAATTTCTATTCTGCCTCAGGAAAGCCCAGGCCTTGCCATGGCGTTCCCTGAATCCGAGCACATCAGCTGCACACGTATGCGCTCTGTGTCTGCGCTCCAGGTCCCTGCGACTCACCACAGCAGCAGGGACATGACGGTGATGGTGGCGATGTTCGCGGTCTTGAACAGGTCCAGGATGAAGACTCTGTGCTGCTTCAGGGGGGTTAGCTCCTGCAACTACAATAGCACCAACAGCCACGAGGTTAAGAGGTAGCAAGGAAGTATCTTCCGTCGTGATGCGCGGGGAAAACTTAGGCATGCAATTCGCATTTCCCCTTGAGTATCCCTGGAAGTCTGGAAACTGGGGGCCACAGGGCATCCACATGTGTGACGCTTACTCCCACACTGTAAAATGTTTGTACCCATTTTTATTTATTTTTATTTTTGAGACAGAATCTCGCTCTGTTGCCCAGGCTAGAAATGCCAGTGGCATCAGCCTAGCTCACAGCAACCTCAAACTCCTGGGCTCAAGCGATCCTCCTGCCTCAGCCTCCCGGGTAGCTGGGATTTTAGGAATGTGCCACCATGCCCGGCTAATGTTTTCTATTTTTTAGTAGAGACGGGGTCTCGCTCTCGCTCAGGCTGGTCTTGAACTCCTGGGCTCAAACGATCCTCTGGCCTTGGCCTCCTGGGAGTGCTACGATTACAGGCTGATACACCGCCCCCGCCTCACCCATGGTTAAAGACCTGTTTTTTTTTTTTTTTTTGTTGAACAGAGCTCACTTTTGCCAGCAATGGCCGTGGCGTCCACCTAGTCAGCAACCCAAATCCGGGTCTCATGTCCTCGGCTCAGCTCCCCGAGTACGACTACAGCAGCCCACTATGCCCCGCTTAATTTTTTTATAAATTTATATAGTTTCATTGCAATCAATGTCTTTCTATTTATAGTAGAGACGGGGTCTCGCTCTTGCTCAGGCTGGTTTTGAACTCCTGACCTTGAGCAATCCACCCGCCTCGGCCTCCCAAGAGCTAGGATTACAGGCGTGAGCCACCGCGCCCGGCCTAAACAGAAGCCTTTTAAATGTGTAACCCCAGCTCCACTGGCTCCTTATGGAAACCCTTTCCTTGAGTCAGTCATCACTGAGGGTGGCCTTCATCGCACCAATCTGGGGCCCTTAGGGCCTACTCAAGGGCAGGGCCACTCGCCCCAAACTGCTGTGAGGCCATGTGTGAGTTTAACACTGTTCTCTTAGCAGCAGAACAGGCTCCAGTGACTTGGGGCCATGAGCAAGTTACTGCGTTTCCTCTCTGAGCTTCAGTTTCCTCCTCTGTACAGTGGTAAACTAACTGGGAGTCGATAAGATTACATGAGATCATATATAGAAAGCCTAGCACAGTGCTTGGACCATGGTAAATGCCCAGCACATTTTAACTATTATTTTGTTATTTTTGAAACAGGTCCTTCTCTGTTGCCAGGCTGGAGTGCAATGGTGCAACTGTGGCTCACTGCAGCCTCGAACTCCTGGGCTCAAGTGAGCCTCCTGCCTCAGCCTCCTGAGCAGCTGGGACTACACACACCACCATGCACAGCTAACTTTAAAAAAATTTTTTTTGTAGAGATGGACGGGGGCTACTCTTTTTGCAGAGGCTGGTCTCCAACTCCCAGCCTCAGGCGATCCTCCCACCTCGTCCTCCCAAAGGGCTGGGATTACAGGCCTGAGCCACCGCACCTGGCCTTGACCATTATTATTATTACCGCTGCATCGTCGAGGAAAAGATGCTAGCCATCCACTACTAGCAGCCGTTTCTTACCACTGTCAAAAGGCTTTATACTCTTTTGCTTTTAATCTGCCGGTGCCAACTTGCCATGAGTTATGAATCCAGATAACCAAGCTGATTAGAGTTGAAACTCTAAACTCTAAAGATAAAAGTTATTAGGATCCGAGGTGGGGAGTCTCTCGGGGATAAAGTACAAGGACTCCGTGGCCCTGTGGTTCGGGCGCAGTAGGAGGCTGAGGGAGGAGTCTCTCTTTGCAGCAGGTGCCCCCAGGTGTGAGTCCTTCTTTCCTGTGATCACCCAAGGCTGCTCACACAGCCTGCAGCCGTGTTGCCTTTCCTCTCCTGCACTGTCTGCAGTGCACGGCTCCAGAACACGCCCCAGCCGCACAACCCTCTCATGACAACAGAGCAAAGCCACTGCGTAACCTGTGCCTCCGCAGTGCCCTCGGTAAATTGCAGACTGCCAGCTTCCACCCTGGCCCTCTGACTACAACTTCCATGGGGCCCAGAGGCCTGGGAATCTGTATTCTTCTTTTCTTATTTTGGAAATTTAGATTTCTATTCTGATTGAAAATGAGAAAAAGAAAAAGAATAATCACTATCACAAAGTAAAAAACACATCTATACGTAATGGGCTGGCTACCATTCAATGCTCTTTAGCCTCTTCTATCAAAATACAGGCGTTGTGGCTCACACCTGTGATCCTAGCACTCTGGGAGGCCGAGGTAGGAGGATCGCTTGAGCTCAGGAGTTTGAGACCAGCTTAAGCAAGAGCGAGACCCCTGTCTCTACTATAAATAGAAAGAAATCAGCCAAACAACTAAAAATAGAAAAAAATTAGCTGGGCATGGTGGCGCATGCCTGTAGTCCCAGCTACTTGGGAGGCTGAGGCAGGAGGATCACTTGAGCCCAGGAGTTGGAGGTTGCTGTGAGCTAGGCTGATGCCATGGTACTCTAGCCCAGGCAACATAATGAGACTCTGTCTCAAAAAAAAAAAAAAAGCACAGTTGTTAAGAGCATGCACTTTGGCATCAGAAAGATGTAGGTTGCAGATCCCAGTTGAATAGCTGTGTGATCCCGGGCAAGTTACTTCTCTGCGCCTCAGTTTTCTCTCCTGAAAAAAATGGGGCTAAGAGCCATACTTCTAGCTACGGCAGCAGGAGCATCAAATGCACAGAACCCCGGGCCGGCATCCGGTCGGCTCTTCACTATCTGAGCAGCTGCACTGGCCGGCACAGGGTCTGCAGGTCCCCCTAGAGAGGACCCGGCCTCCGGAGAGCAGAACCCCCTCCCCTGGGTGGGCCTCTCCAGCTGAGGCCAAACAAACATCATGGCGGGAAGACACAGGCGCTATCAGAAGCGTGCGTTTTGACCCTGGACTTTATTCTTACGTGCCCATGACTGTGTATCTCTTATCTGTTTCATGATTGCTCTCATCCATGTGGGCAGATGCCTACAGCTAGACCGTAAGGTTCAGAGACAGAAATCAGGCCACACATCTGACAAACACCAGTGAACACCCAGCACAGCTCTGAAAAGCAGAAGTGTTAGATACTTCCTATGTTGTTTTTTCATCCAGTTAAATTGATTAAGACTGGGAACGGGCCGGGCTCGGTGGCTCACGCTTGTAATCTTACTACTCTGGGAGGCCGAGGCAGGAGGATTGCTTGAGCTCAGGAGTTCTAGACCAGCCTGAGCAAGTACAAGACCCCGTCTCTACTAAAAATAGAAAAACTTAGCCGGGCATGGTGGCGCATGCCTGTAGTCCCACCTATATGGGAGGCTGAGGCAGGAGGATCGCTGGAGCCCAGGAGTTGGAGGCTGCAGTGAGCTAGGCTGATGCCAGGGCACTGTAGTCCAGGCAATAGAGCAAGACTCTGTGTCAGAAAGAAAAAAAAAAGACTGGGAATAGACTTCTTGATTTGAAGGGCAAAGGATTAAGTGATGTTTTGACCTGGAGGCTCTTTGAGAGCTTGAGTTCAAGGCCATTGCAATTAAGCCTCCAGCCACAGCCAGGGTACCTGCTTCTGGATAAGGTCTTGAAGGCCAGGGAAGGAGAAAGCTCTCAGGGTGGAGCACTGGCGTGCCCAGGTCTGCTTTTGAGGTAGCCGGTGGTGTAGGCTTTAGGTCAGGGCGTGTTCACTGCTGCTGACGCCACCACAGTCCTCCGCCTTCTCCTAGCCCGGAATGCCCTGCTCCGTCCTCTCTATTTTTGTTTTTTATTTTTTTATTTTTTTTTTTGAGACAGAGTCTCGCTTTGTTGTGGCGTCAGCCTAGCTCACAGCAACCTCAAACTCCTGGGCTCGAGCGATCCTTCTGCCTCAGCCTCCCGAGTAGCTGGGACTACAGGCATGCACCACCATGCCCGGCTAATTTTTTTTAATATACATATCAGTTGGCCAATTAATTTCTTTCTATTTATAGTAGACACGGGGTCTCGGTCTTGCTCAGGCTGGTTTTGAACTCCTGACCTTGAACAATCCGCCCGCCTCGGCCTCCCAGAGAGCTAGGATTACAGGCGTGAGCCACCGCGCCCGGCCATCCTCTCTATTTTTCTAAGTGACTCCTGCTGTCCTCCCTGGCTTGGACCTGTCTCTCCAGCCCTTGGGCCACCTGTTGTCTTTCTCTGTGCTGCCTGAACACAGAACCCATTCCGTGGGTGCTAAGCATTTCCTCCCTGTGTCGTCGTTTGCCTTCATCTAATCCTCTTGCCCCTCTGAGCTGCGCTCTATGCTCCTGTAGCGCAGGGGCCGTGTCTGACTTTTCTTATTTCCTCTAGGAGCTGGGCACGGCACCCTGCGCGTCCTCACTGCCCGTCAGGACGTGCAGCTGCTTCCGTGGAACATCAGCTTTACTCTGTGGCCGCCCCCCTGCAGGGGCGAAGCCTCAAGCCTGTGCTCTTAGGCCTTCAGGTTCCAGACATGACTCACAGCAGGACAAAAGACACGCACAGCTTCCTCAGCAGGCTCTGGTAAGACTCGGGGACAGAGGAGAACCCAGGGTGGACTGGTCCTTAAACATATTTTTTCCACTCAATCTGGACATTTAAAAACCATCAATACAGTAGCTGCATCGATAGTCTGGAGCAATGCCAATAAAAAGTTGTTGGTAAACTTGCAAAATGAAGGGAGTTGATATTTAATGAACACTTGCTGTTATATCTTCAAAGCAGTTTGCACATATTGTTGCACTTAATTTTTAAACAGCCCTTTAAGGTGGATTTTTTTTCTTAGAGCTTAATCTTGATTGTATTCCTCAGGCCCAGCACAGTACCTGGTACACAGTGGGCACTTAACAAATGTTGAATTAAATCAAATTCCACAAAAATCAAGAATGCATAGCTGATCTGAAGAGGAGACACCTGCAAATGCTCACCTCCACAGGATCGAATATCACGGCCGGTATCTCTATGTTGTTCATTTTCGCAGCTTTCTGGATGATATCTTCAGCCTCTTTAAATCTCTTCTGGGATATCAGCCACCGGGGAGATTCAGGAATAAACCTAGAATTCATTTTTAATAGTTTATGATTTTTCACAACAGCGGGGTTGGATACTATTAACTAAAAGTTGCCCCCAGATAATTATAAATTCTAGTCTGTCTTTTTAAAGACACTTGGGAGGGAGTCCTCATGAGATTTCTCTTGGAGCACAGAGAATACATAAAAGCACCTTCAAGTTTCAAACTTCTGATCAAATTGTAAGACCGGTTATCTGTTGTGCTTGAAACAGGACCAGACCATGAAGGTGACGTTAGCTGTGGGTCTGCCTAAGCCAGGGCAGCTGGAGAAGGCCACCCCGAACTTAATACAGCCAATGTGTCCCATAAAAGACGCACGGCCACTAGACAGAGAAGAGACTGTCCTTCCAGTGTGTACGTCCCTAGGAGAACTCCTGGCGGCCAGCTGGTGGTGGTCACAGTTCAGTGGGTAAAGGACGGCCAAGGCGCCTGTGCTCTTGAGCTTTCCCTGCAGTCACAGGAGAAGGTGGGGCACTGACACCCACCTAAGGGCTTTCTCCATGGTTTTCAATAGGTTCCTAGGTCAGTGAGCACCTAAACCGGTTTTGGGGAGAGGGACCCCAATGTTGTGGTTCATGTCTAAAAACTTAATTTTTAAAACTACATAGTCTATTCACATTGGTAACTGATGCTCAAACACAGTTGCAAATAATTGGACTTATGTTCTTCCCTAATTTTTATTTCTTGAAATCTCTCAGCCCCTCCCCTGCCAGCTCTTGTTCTCCTTACGTTTCTGTCAATCTGTATGGACGGGCCCCAACTCACGATGGTTCAACCTGTGATGTCCCCACTTTGCCGGGGTGTGGCAGTGATATGCATTCAGTAGAAACCGCACTTCAAGCACCTACACTGTTTTTTGCTTTCAGTACCGCATTCAATAAATTACATGAGATATTTGACACTTTGTTATAAAATAGGTTTTGTGTTATATATAGGCCAGTATTGGTGTTCTGAGCATGTTTAAGGTAGGTTTGGAATGTCAACATGATAATTTCAACTTACAATGGGTTTACTGGGACATACCCCCACCATAAGTAGAGGAGCATCTGTACTTAGTTATCCCAGAAAATGAATTACACGTAGCAGACACAGAGTCCTCCTATAACAGGCCCGGAAGCTGCACAAGGAACTAACTCAGGGCAAAGCAAACGGCCGACTCCCTTCCCCAGCTCACTAGCATGTGAGCTGCAAAAAGAGCCCAGTCTGCATTCTTCCGAATGTGCCTTCAGTGGGTCCCTATAGGAACTGCGATAATGTCAAGTCGCTGACCTTCAGTAATCAGAGCCGTGCTGTCCAGTAGAAACTTCTGGAATGTTCTACATCTGTGCTGGCCAAGACATTAGGCAATACCCACATGTGGCTGTTGAGCTAGTGTGACTGAAGAAATGAAAATGTATTTTATTTGCTTTTAATTAATTTTAATTTAAACAGCCACATGTGGCTGGCGGCTGCAGCATAAGTGCAGAATTAGAGATCTTACTACGCAGCTGCTATAGATTCATGAACGCCCCGGCTTCTGAGCAGTGTCTGCCCCCAGCCAGGGGTGCTTAGAAACACCCACTTCCTACAGCGCTCAGAGACCATCAGCCAGAAACTGCAAAGCTTCTCAGTGTCGCGTCCACAGCCTCCTTCTGCCTCTCCCCAGCCCCTGTACACACTCCCTGGACACCTGTGGCCGCTGACTGCCAAGCCCTTTGGAAACTCGGGTCATAAAAAGCCCCCAGACCACGTGCAATGGCCCTGTGTGGGCTCCCGCCCCTCTCTGGCCCGCTGCTCTCAGGGCCACCGGGATCTCTACTTTTAAATCGCCTTGAGTTTTTGGTGCACAGAACGTCAAGTCTAGCCGATCACTTCACAAGTTAATGGACTGACTACAGTCTCTCTGCAGGTCTAATGCAGGTTCCCCGGGGGTGGGTGTGGCTGGAGAGTCTGTGTCGCATCCTGGGTAAGCAGCAGCTCGGAACGTCCCCCAGCCCTGGCCCCTAGACCGATGGGCATGGCTTCGACAGTCCCACCGCCAAGGGCGAGACATTCGGAGGAAACCTATTTTGTTTTTATGGGAAAGTGAGAAGGCCTCTGCTAAACACTCAGGACCAGCACTCGGCTTGTCAGCGCTGGCCCCAGCTGCCTTCGTCTGGGGCAACGAAATTGGCAAACTGAAAATATATAGAAGGCCGGGCGCAGTGGTTCACGCCTGTAATCCTAGCACCCTGGGAGGCCGAGGCGGGCGGATTGCTCAAGGTCAGGAGTTCGAAACCAGCCAGAGCAAGAGTGAGACCCTGTCTCTACTATAAATAGAAAGAAATTACTTGGCCAACTAATATATATAGGAAAAAAATTAGCCGGGTATGGTGGCGCGTGCCTATAGTCCCAGCTACTGGGGAGGCTGAGGCAGGAGGATCACTTGAGGCCAGGAGTTTGAGGTTGCTGTGAGCTAGGCTGACGCCACGGCACTCTACCCGGGGCAACAGAGTAAGGCTCTGTCTCAAAAAAAAAAAAAAAAAAAAAAAAAGAGAAGGAAAAGTGCTAAAACCAACAAAGCCCAATAACACTATCTCCACTGACGACAGCGACAAGCGTGGGGACTGTCTGGGGAGGGACTGGAATTCTTGAGAACAGCACTTTGTAGGACAATGAAGAATTGAACCCACCACACAGGCCCCCACAGTGAGGCAGCAGCTCTCTGGGCTTTGAGGCTGGCCCCAGTGAGTTCAGTGGAGGCCACACAGGCCCGGGCCAGGCAGCGCCAGGCTGCAGGTGTGCCCCAGGTGTGGCCCAGGTGTGGCCCAGGTGTGCCGGCCCGCAGCAGGGGCCCGTCCAGGAACACGTCACACTCACCACCACAGCGGCACGCACAGCAGCCCCGGCACCGTCAGCGCCAGCAGCAGCATCCGCCAGTCCCGGATGAAGTAAGCAAACAGCGGCAGCAGCATGTAGCCGACTGCAAAGAATGTGCACACCCCTAGCGTGGAGAATATGATACGGACTGACTTGCCAAGAATCTCTGTTCCTGTTCAAAACAAGGGAGGAGTATTAGCATTTTAACCCACGTCGATATTTGCTTCGTATATTGTTACCTGGCAGTGAGAGTTCAAACTGTAACCTCTTAGGAAAAGGAAAAGGCGTTTGCCTCGTGGCCCAGAGGAGGAAGGTGGGAAGTGATCCCGGACTTTTCAGTTTACAGAGATGGGGTCGCCATGGATTTATTTTTTTCCTTCTTTCTTTTTTTTCCCCCTATGATTAAGAAATCATGATAGATTTATTTTTTAATTTTTATTTTATTTATTTTTTGAGACAGAGTCTCACTCTGTTGCCCAGGCCAGAGTGCCGTGGCGTCAGCCTAGCTCACAGCAACCTCAAACTCCTGGGCTCAAGTGATCCTCCTGCCTCAGCCTCCCGAGTAGCTGGGACTACAGGCATGCACCACCATGCCCGGCTAATTTTTTCTATATATTTTTTAGTTGGCCCATTAATTTCTTTCTATTTTTTAGTAGAGACGGGGTCTCGCTCTTGCTCAGGGTGGTTTCAAACTCCTGACCTTGAGCAATCCGCCCGCCTCGGCCTCCCAGAGTGCTAGGATTACAGGCGTGAGCCACCTCGCCCGGTTCCCAACTTTAAATAAACAGACAGTGGCCCTCGGGACACAGCGGGGAATTCTCGCTTTCTGAGATGTCAGGACATCCGCACCCACACTGGAGCCCCGAGAAATGATCTGCAGGAGCCAGCCGATTCTGGGGGTGCACAGGGCGGGCCCCCAGCACCCAGGACAGGACGCCCTCCAGCCCCGCTGCGCCCCGAGATCAGCCCCAGGCGGACACGGTCCGTCTGGACAAGGAAAGGCCACCGGAGCTGCTCTGCACAGCGCCACGGCGGAACGTCCGCGCCAGCTGCCCAGAGACGCTGCCCGCCCGCCCCCGGGAGACAGGGGAGTCCAAGGACAAAGCTCCCTCTCTTGCCAGAAACTCCGGGCCTTTCTACAGAGTCCACCCTCGGTCCTCTGCCCGGGGTGTGGACCTGGCCAGAGGCAAAGGCTCTGCCTTTCGTGTGGGATCTGCCCACACTGCCGAGAAGCAGCAGCCCAGAAAATCCAAAGGTCGTTCACGCTTGTCTTTCAAGAGAGATTTTCTCAATCCTGTTTACGTGCCCCGAACACAGGCGAAGGGGTCAAGGGCTGGTTCCAGAGAAGCAGCAAAATGCCTACTTCAGCCGGTCTCGCTCTCCCAGCTCCAGCCTGCTCCCACCGCAGCCCACTCATCCTCCCTCACTTCCCAGAACTGGGGGGCCTGCCCCAGGGGTCCCCTCTCCGGTTGTCCTTTAAAAAAGCCAGAGTGGTAGAACGGCCAGCTCCGTGCGGTCCCCAAGCCCACCTTGCAATGGCCCTCACCGTCCGCCGCGTTTCTCAGCCGTAATCTCACTTCCGAGGATAAGCCCTGCCTTTTCTGAGGACCGTGAGTATGATTCCCAGATCTCTTCTGACCTCTTGAATGACCTTCATGCCGCGCCCTGGTTTCTAACCCCTCTGGCTGCGAGTACGGGACAGGACGGGACGGGAATGGGTAAGGGATGCTTTGTTGCTAAGCAACGGTTTAGAAGTGAAGCGGCAGAGGGTTTGGTTGGGGAAAGCGGAAAGTGCACAGGACCAAGGGGCGACCTTGTAGGATCGTGAGGCCGGGGGGCTCCCTCACACCTCCGTGACCTTGGTAAGAGGAGAGAGAGGTCACACCGAAGGGTTCCTGGATCATCTCCCTCTCCAAGCTCGGGTCTCGGACCAGAACCGAGTTGTGACAACTTCGCAGCGTACACGTGGGGGACAGAGCTCTGTGAATGTGCCTCTCTGCCTGCCTGTGGAGCCACGCACCTGGCACGAATCTAGATCATTCCTTGTCAGCACTGCTGTCTGCTCTCTGACTTTTAGGCAGTCACCCTTCGTCATACGTCATCATCATCATCATCTGCACAGATGGCATTATTTATTTATTTATTTTTGAGACAGAGTCTCACTCTGTTGCCCAGGCTAGAGTGTCGTGGCGTCAGTCTAGCTCACAGCAACCTTCAACTCCTGGGCTCAGGCGATCCTCCTGCCTCAGCCTCCCGAGTAGCTGGGACTACAGGCATGTGCCTGTGATCAGCCCTGCTTCAAGGAGGTGTTATTATGAGGACCGAGATAACATATACAAAGTGCCTAGTAGGTCGTCTGGCACATGACAGGTGCCTAGTAAGAGCTATACCTTTATCCTGGTCAAGAAGGTGAAATGTGGCACCTGTCAGGGGACTGATAGGAAGCACAGCGCCTTTCGCCACGAGGCCCCGTGGAAGACAGCAGAACCTCGCTGCTTCCCAGAAAATGCTCAGGACTCTCATCAAATTCATAGATATTCCCCTGCCCAGGGCTTCCCTTTTCTCCTCTATAAACCTTCACAGTTGGCTCCGGTCAAAAGCGAGCCTTCCCATCTCTGCATAGAGCCAGCAGTGCTCCCTTCCCCGATCCGTGTCCCCAGGTCCTCAGTGACAACGGCACTGGCAGCCTCTGCACAACCAGCAGTGGCTCCCTGTGACCAGGCAGCGGGTCCTGCTCCTCCCTGTCCCCCCCAGCTGCTCCCCCACGCGGTACGATGCAAACAAGGGGGGCGGCAACTTCCTGCACCGTGTGTATGTGCTTAGACCCCAACACGCCTCTCCGAGGTTCTGAGGCAGCTTCTAATTCAAAATACAATAAAAAATGGCAACATTAAAATAAAATATAAAGAAAAGTAAAAGCTTGTGCCTTGAAGAAAAGAACAAAAATATGCAGCTGATCACTTTGAAACCAGCTTGGCAGCTCCGTTCCTCGAAAGGTTAAACACAGAGTTGCCATGTGACCTGGCACCTTGGCTCCTAGGTAGTTGGACTCATGTTCAACTCCAAGAGAATTGAAAACACGTAGCTGCAAAAATAAATAAATAAATAAAACAACGGATTCTCAAATGTTCGTAGCATTATTCATAATAACCCCGATATCCAATGGCTGATGAACGGATGAACAAAGTCTGTTGTATTCGTGCCGTGGAATCTAATTCACGCTGTGACGTGGACACATTTGAAACAGTGAGTGAAGGAAGGCAGTCACGAAGGCCACCTACTGTGTGATTCCTTTTCTATCCAATGTGCAGAAGAGGCAAACCCAATCCGAGATGGAAAGTAGATCAGCGGTTGCCAGGGGCTGGGGGAAGAGGGAAACGACGCTAATGGGTAGAGGGATTCTTTTCAGAGTGATGAGAGGTTAGGGTTGATGACTGTACAACTTTGTGAATATATTATACTAAAAACCGCTCGATTGTACGGTTTAAAAGAGTGAATATCACGGTGTGCAAATTTACTATGGGCTGAATATTTCTGTCCCCTCATTACACACTCGTATATGGAAGTCATAACCCCCAGTGTGGCTGTGTTTGGAGTAAAGAAGCAATTAAGGCTAAATGTGGTCATAATCGTGGGCCCCGATCTGATAGGATTAGTGTCCTAACGAGAAGAGACACTAGAGACTTTCTCTCTCTCTCTTTGTCATCTGCGACCCGAGAGAGAGAGCCCTCCCCTGCCGGCACTTTGATCCTGGACTTCCAGTCTCTAGAACTGTGGAACGACGCGTTTCTGCTGTTTAAGTCTCCTGGTCTGCAGTATTTTGTTACGGGCATCCCAAGCAGACGAAGACAAAATTATATTTCAATTTAAAAACACTTCAAAAATATGTGGCTGGTAAAAGCTGCGTAGTTGATATACAGTCCAATTTCACATTTGCCAGAGCTTCCTGGCAGCCAAAGGGATAAAGGCAGATGCTGTCCACCAGCCACACACTTACGGACGGGAGGGACAACTGGACCCCAGAGGAAGCGAAGCTTTCAGTGGCTCGGCAGGCCCAAAGAAGCGTGCACGGCGTGGGGGCTGATGTGAGAAGCACTGAAAATTACCGAGTTAACGAATCAGTGCAGATTGGAGACAGTTAACTTTTATGCAGAATTCACTGAAGCACGTCGTTATGGGGGACAGAAGCCTACGCTGCTGGCATTTGACCTGGAAGGGGAGGGCGTTATTTCTGGGAAACAGGAGGAGGCAGTGCGGGGAGCTGGAGCAGGGTCGGGCCAGCGTCCTTGGTCCTGAGCAGTCAGTCGTTTCCTTGGTCCTGGGCAGTCAGTCACTTCCTCCTGCACCAGCGTCACTCTGGCGGTGCCTTTACTCCCAGGTGTGCGACTTACGTTGTTTGGGCAGCACTGTGCTTCCTTCCCTGCTTCCCTGTGGCTCTGGTAGGCTTGACAGCCTCTAAAAAGCAGCACAAGAAGAGGACCCCTTTCTGCACCTGCTTTGAGAGTGGGAGCGATTCCGCTTCTCGAATCAACGTGGAGACGCCTAGGATTGGAGATTGTCATGGCAGAGCCCTGTCAGCCCTTCCCTAGGGCAGAGGGCATAAGTGACGGCACCTATGGGACTTCTCAGCCAGACCCCACCCTTTGGTTTATTTTAGTCAAATAAAACCTGGAATTTGGCTGTGTTGGCCCCCAAACACCAGAGAGCGCTGCTGCGCTGAGCCAGAGGCCACCTGGTCCTCACACCGTGTCCCCCAGGCCCCGGTGGAGCCCACTGCTGCCCCAGGGCAGGCTGGTTGTCAGTGACACTCTCAAATTTCCAGACCCGAAACCTGACACAGCAGGGCCCACGCCCACACCAGGACACAAAAGCTAGCAACGCCCTGCAAGCCCAGTGCAGTGAGACTACAGCTGTGGCAGCAACCATAGCAGCCTGCACAGGCCTGGGCCCAGCCGATAGCAAAGCCCCGAGCACTGGCATCTTGCCTGCCTCTTGCCTGCCACTGATAATCTCCCAGGCCTCACTTACCCCTCCGCCCCTGCTCCTCTCTGCCCTGCACGTGAGACCACAGCTGTGGGGAGGGGATCTGGGAGGGAGCACATGGCAGTGCCAGGGTTGGGCTTTCCTGCAGGAAGCCTGGGCTGTGCTCTCCCGTCTCAGCCACTTGCAGAGGGGCGGCTCCCGGGCTCCAGGAGCACCTGTGCCCCTGGGAAGGTAGGTCTCCGTGCCGATCAGCACATAGAGCCTGGGGGTGCCACCGCCTGGCACAGGTGTCAACTGGTCCCAGTCCCCATGACAGAGCTTCCTGGTCTTCACCACGACTCCCTGCCCTTCCACTCCAGACAGCCCTTGGGGGCCTCCTGTGACACGGGTCTGCTGGCCTTGGGCAGGGCCCTCTGTGCTAGGGAGGCCCACGTGGTCTTTGGTTGGGGTCTGGCCCACACAGAGCCACGTGTTAGGATTTTCAGGTGCAGGGAGGGCCACCCCAGGAAGGCAGATCCTGGGGACTTAGAATGTGAGAACAACAGGCTTCGCTTCGCCAAGAATCCCGAGTTTCCGGGGCCATAGGCGCTGGGCAGTCGCAGTTTCTGTCCTAAATTCCTGCAGTCTCCAGGTCCCAGGGCTGGCCTGGAGCCCCCGTGCCTCTCTATGCACAGATGATCCTCGAGTCATGCTCGCTCCCCTGTTCCGCTGCGGGCAGGAGAGCAGCCCCCTCGTGGCTCTGCCTCGCACCCCCCCCCAGCTCCTCACAAATAATTAAAGGAGTGGGACTCGAACAAGTCCGCATTGGCAACTGGCAGAGGGTGCGCACGCAGCTGAGAAAACACAGTGTCCCCAATGCCACTGCGTCACCCGCACTCTTAACAGCAGCCGGAGTCACCTGGCCACTGGCTGGACTCAGACCCTGGAGATCAGAAGAATCAGCGGACTTATATTAAGGGGGCACCACTCATAATGACACCGCGACAATGGGGATAAACTGGGACTGTGCGAGCCAGCCAGAAAATACGATCACACTGGGGAGTCTAGGACCTGGGGTCTGTGGTCCCAGGATGGCCTCATCTCCCCTCCCCTCACCTGCCTAGGTGGGCTCAGAGAGCACACGGGGGCTCCCACTCCCGGGGCTGACCCTGACCAGCTCTCCTGGCCTCACCGAGCCTCCTCCCAGGGAAAGGCGCTGGAGGCCCCGGGGCCTCTGCCTGGCTGGTGGCTGGCGGGTCTCCCCCATGTGCCTGACGGAGACAGGGCGGGTATCAGCGAAGAGCAGCTTGTCCTGCACTGAGCCGACATGCCCTGCGGTTGGCCCCGACTCAGGGTGAGGCCACATCTGCTCAGTGATGGCGGCTGGCGTGGAATCCCCCGCCTGTGTGCTGGTCACACCAATCGCCCTTGTCCCTTCGTGGGCCTCCAGCCTGCACGGCTCAGAGCAAAGGCTTCTCCAGGCTGTCCCTGCCCTGGACTCCTGCCCTCCCTGCTCCTGAGAATGTGTCTCAGTTGTTGCGTGGCTGGTTCTTACCAGCTCCAGCTTATTTTTTTTTTTTTTTTTTGAGACAGAGTCTCACTGTGCCACCTGGGCTAGAGTGCCGTGGTGTCAGACTAGCTCACAGCAACCTCAAACTCCTGGGCTCAAGCGATCCTTCTGCCTCAGCCTCCCGAGTAGCTGGGACTACAGCCATGAACTACATGCGGCTAACTTTTTCTATGTATATTTTTAGTTGTCCAGCTTATTTCTTTCTATTTTTAGTAGAGATGGGGTCTCACTCTTGCTCAGGCCGGTCTCAAACTCCTGGCCTCAATCGATCCTCCCTTGTCGGCCCCCCAGAGCACTAGGATTACAGGTGTGATCCACCATGCCTGGCGTAGCTCCAGCTCTTGCTCTCCACCATATTTAGGGCCCAGCACAGAGGTGGTTCCCCGTGCCTGCCCTGTCCGTCACTGGCTTGAAGAACCCCTGGCCACACTCCCCCGCACACATGTACTCAGGCCCGTCAGGCTTTGGGAGCTCGGTCCAGTGTCTTTCTCTCCCCTGGCCTTGCAGAGGGCTGGAAGGAGGAGCCCTCTGTCTCAGACGTACGACATAGTAGAGAAAGTAAGTTGGAACTGGCCATGCCACGATGCAAATAACACAGTGCTCAACAGTTAACGGACAAGAAAATGAGCCAGATATTGACACGAACTGGGGAAAGAGGAATGTTTTACCTGCCAGAACTACGAAGCGTGCAGAGTGAGGGTCGGTTCACAGCTCTGAGGGTTGCAGCCCTTAGCGCCAAGGCCCCGCAGACATTTCCCTGTCACATCCTCTCAGCTTCCTCCTGCTGTGGCCTCAGGCACCCATCTGCTCAGGAGGTCCCTTCTGGTTCCCTTTCAGCAATATCTGCTGGTGACAGGGGACACCGTAGTGGGTGGCCGTGTTAATTCCAGGCTCTGCTAGCTGACCAGTGGGCAGAACGGAGCACAGGTGTGATCGGAACAGTCTCCTTGCCACACACTCTTCCCAAAACTCCAGGTCCTCGGCCTGTTGGCTGTTGTGGGGACGGCAGCACCGTGTCTGTCACAGGCGGCCTGCAGTCGGAGGACTCGTGGCTTTCCTTTCCAGTGGGGTCCAGGAGAACCCTCGCCGTCGCAGGGGCCAAAGCCCTGGGAGTGCGAGGCAGGGCGGCCGGTCCAAAAGCCAGCGTCCGGCGAATGCGGTCGGGCTCTCACGGACTCGGGTTGGGCCTGCGGGCCCTCCTTTCTCTGGGTGGAAACAGCCCCAACCCGAGACAGGCAGCGAGTGAACCACCAGCCCACCTGCTGTCCCCGGCAGGGTCCTCACCTGTCCGACAGCTGCCCGCACACGAAGGAGCCCAGCAAGACGCCCACGAAGAACAGGGAGGTGGTGAGCGGCGTCCTCCAGTTGTCCTCGCACACCAGGTTCCACTGCGGGCGGAGAATACACACGTGTGAGCCCGGCCCCCGCAGGCCCGCCCCGAGTCAGGGACGCCAGCGGCGGCTGCCAGGCAGGCTCCCTCCGCGCGCACCTGGGGCAAAGGCCTAGCGGCCCCGGGTGGGACCAGCCTGTGCCAGCGCTGGGACTGGCACCCGGGGCAGGTCACTGTCCTGCCTCTTCTGAAAGGCAGGTGACGGCGCCTACTCTGCCAATGTCACGTCACAAGCAGCAAGCAGGGGCCGCAGCTGTGCCTGGTGGTGCTCAGCTGTGACGCAGGGTGACGCCAAGGGGGCACTGCCCCTTCAGGCGGCCACTGAGCAGGGAGGGACGGTGTCTGAGAAGCCCAGAGGGGCAGGCAGAGAGCACAGGCACTTGGGCGGTGGGTAAACATTCTCTCCCTTATTGACAAGTACGCGTGGCCCCAGGAGCTCTGCGACTCCACGTTCTGAGCACTCGCCTGAGGACACCTCTGTGGCCCTGGTCCACTCACGCCTCAGCCGAGCCTGGGCCTGACTCGGGCCCCAGGTGCCGGGGCAGCTCCCCCCCCCCTTCCTCCACCCTCCTTCCTGGCCAGGCCTTTCCGGAAGTTGGTCCCTCCGGTTCCCCAGGGCCTGTGGGTGCGGCCGCCCCAACAAGTCGCTGTGGTGCATCCCCACAAGGAGAGTTTCTGCCACAGTCTTAGTTCTCAGCTCTCAACTCAATTGGATGAAACCTCGAGGGAGGCTGCAACGATTTCAAAGTGTGTTTAGTGACCTTTCATCTATTTAAAAAATAAAACAGGCCGGGTGCGGTGGCTCACGCCTGTAATCCTAGCACTTTAGGAGGCCGAGGTGGGCGGATCACCCAAGGTAGGAGTTCGAAACCAGCTTGAGCAAGAGCGAGACCCCATCTCTACTAAAAAATAGAAAGAAATTAATTGGCCAACTAAAAATATATAGAAAAAATTAGCCGGGCATGGTGGCGCATGCCTGTAGTCCCAGCTACTTGGGAGGCTGAGACAGGAGGATTGCTTGAGTCCAGGAGTCTGAGGTTGCTGTGAGCTAGGCTGACGCCACGGCACTCTAGCCTGGGCAACAGAGTGAGACTCTGTCTCAAAAAAAAAAAAAAGAAAAATTAAGATTAAAAAAAAAACACATGAATTTGCATATTTGTACCACAACTACTCCTATAGCACAGAGAGTTTATGAAGCACACACAAGAGAAAAGTGCCAAGCAAAAAGCTCAGGAATCAGAGCAGAGAGTAAAGGGTGGCAAAGCCAAGCCTGGGGTCAGCTGAGCCCAGACTGTCTTGTCCATGGGGCTGTTGCCAGACAGGGTCCCGGCTCCGGCTCCGAGATTCCCAGCAACTCAGCTCTTGCAGAGACCACGGCACCCAAGGGGCAAACTCACTCTGCAGGAGCACAGTTTCTGAGTGCTGAGACTGAGAGAAATCTCCCTATGTGCTTCTTCCACCAAGGGGCCACGCTGTGATGTCCAGGACAATGTCTTTGAGAACAGCCCTGTCCTCAAGGCAAAGTAAGATTCCTGGGACTGCCTGTCACTGTGCCCACAGGCTGGCTAGGGCAGGACGCCAACACACAGCTCTGCAGGAGGAAACATCCTGGGCCAGGAACTCAGCTCTCTGCCCCTCAGGTAAGATCCGCTGATAAATCTGAGACCAGATCCAGAGTGGGGTTGCCTCACCTGAGCTCCCGGAATGGGCGTCAGGGAAAGAGGGAAAGAACCCTCTAGACCGCATGGCTGGGCTCGTGTCCTCTGCCAGCCCACAGATCAGAAGTGGTATAGAGGACGTGTGTCCGAATTAACAGCCGCCTCCCTCCAAAAATACTGGCCGAAGCTTCGGAGAAGAGCTTGGGATCTGCCCTTGGACACAGAGAGATGAGCACTTGGGGCCCCAAAGCCTCATGATGTAAAATGTGACCCATTTTGCAGAAGGTTAAACTGAGGCTGTGGGACTGGGATTTGTCTGAAGTCATAGCAAGGAAGTGGGCGTGCAGATACCAGCATGAGCCTGAGTCTCATCACCATGTCCTTCTTGGGCCTGTGCTCTAAAGGCAGGACAAAATGGGCTTATTATATATGATCCCCTACACTTCTTGGAGAACTGTGATACCGGGACTACCCCAGGACTAGGGGTAGAAGGTCTCCACCACGGTCTCGAGCTTGGCAGACGTATCTAACACGTCTATTATCAACCACCTCCATTCCATCTGCAGTTGAGCAGAAAAGCTCCTCCGAATACAGCGTCTCTTTTCCATCAGGACCTTGCCGTAGGGGGAGACAGACAGGATTTGGAGATGGAAAGGAAAGAGGGAGGCTGTCAGATGTGGGGCCAGGCATTGTGTGAGCAGAGTCAGTGGGCAGGACTGGCTCCCTAACTTGCAGACCCAGTGCAAACTGAAAATGCAGAGCCGCTTGTTCAAAAATTATTAAGAATTTCAAGACAACAACCGCAGAGCGTTGAAACCCAGTGTGGGCTCGGTGTGACTGCACAGGCTGTGTTCCCACAGAGCTGGCCCTGGGAGTGGATCAAGCGTGGTCTCCTTGGGGGGAGGAGCAGAGGTGGGAGTCCTGACCTGGGGGGCACCAGGCAGGCTGAGGTGGGTGCCAGCTCCCCGTTGCTCTCTTTCCTGGAGTCTGTGCAGCTGCTGCTTTAGGTCCACTTCCCTCCCAGAAAAGGGGCCAAGAAGCCCCTTCAGCCTCACGCAGCACAAGAGAAGGCCCTGTGCATATTGTTGCCATCTGCCCCACGCCCAGGCAAGGTGCTGTCTGCCTTTGGGGAGCCCGCTTACAGCCAGCAGGGCGAGGTAGCTGGACCCCAGGGCTGTCCATGTCTGGCTCTAGGGCTAGGTTCTCCCTCGTGGAGTTGTTGTGCCCAAGAAGTCTTTCTGGAAAGCTGCCAAGGGTCTGGTCTTAGGGCACAGGATTGGCAAAGTTCCAGCTGGGGCTGGTGGGGCAGGAGTCCATCAGCTGCCGGCCCAGAGAGAGGCCTTGACCCCAAAGGGCTGTTTTCGGTCCCTTCGTGCTTGAGGGGTGTGTCTTAGGGGCCCCCACTAGCCAAGGCCCTGAGAGCCCCCTGTGGCCAACAGGGACATGTAGGCCCAGAGGGAGGCAGTCTTTTCCTTGATGGGACAGAACTGTCCCTGGGGGTCCCCGCACACGTGAACACACGTGCACACACAAACATACACACACAGTCAGTTCAGAGGCCGGTGGTGGCTGTCCTGGAGCAGCTGGCTGGCACTGTCCTGGGGCTGTCCTCCCAGGCAGACACTGACATTCCCAAAACACAGCTTACTGCCCTCCCCCAGCGAGAAGTGGGATGTGGCAGCTGCTGGCCCAAGCTGCACAGGGCAGGACGCTGGGTGGGGTCTCCCGGGTCACTGTGCTCGTCCCACCCTCAGGGTCTCAGCCTGATGTTCTCACAGCAGAGCAGGGTGAGCTCCGTGTGTTACGGCAGGGCCTGCAGCCTTCGTCTCTGTTCTAAGACACAGGAATCCAGGTCGCCAGGGAACAGGGAACAGGGTATGGGCAGAGTCTCTTGGCGTAGAAGAAAGTGCCTGTCACTCCTCCTAATGGTGACAGTAACAGGAATGACAATTGTGGTGTGTTGGGCACTCACTGAGCACCTGTGTTATCATCTCACGGAGTCTCAGAGCTGCCGTGTGGAACGGGGACTCTTCCCGTCTCACTTTACAAATGGGGAAATGGAGGCACGAGCGATATAGCCAGCAGGCTGAGTTTCCCAGGGAGTTCCCCAGATGAACCGATAAATTGTCATTTACCCCTGACATGGAGCACCTGCTCTGGCCAGGCTCGATGTGAGGCAGGACAAAGACACGGTCCCTGCCCTCACAGAGCTCGAGGTCTAGCACGCTCTACGGGACAGATCAGACGTGCACACGCATGTGCAGAGCCCTGTGGTCCCAGGCGGGGCAGGTCTGCTCTGGGCCACTTTGCCCTTACGCTCTGGCTAGAGAGGAAGAGGAGCCCTCTCCTCCTCATCTTCCGACACAAGAACAGAGCTTTAAAACCTGAATAATCTGAATAATTGCACTTTAGACGACTAATGCACAGGGCTAGGCACACAGTGCATGCTTAACACGTTGTTGATGGATGAATGCCAAACAAATAGGAATAACAGAAAACGAGTTAGGAAAACGTCTGGTTCTGGGCTGGGGAGTATCGCACTGCACTCTGAAAATCACCCTCACCTTGAACTCTCCGAGCAGCCAAAGTCTGGCAATTTTAACTTGTACCGAAGCCGTAAAGGATCGTAAAGGTAAGCGCAGCTCCTCTGGCCTGCCTGGGACGGAGAGCTCTGGAAGGCAGCCTGGTGCTGAGCAAAGAGCGGGGGTTTCTCGGCTTCTGCCGAGTCTGCCCGTGTGACTCCCGGCCGCTCATCCACCTCTGTCAGCTGCTGCTGCGTCTTCAAAGGGGTGACAGTGACACCCCCTGCCGGGTTCGTCGTGTGCAGTGGACAGGAAATGTCGGTGGAGGTTCTGACATAGCATCGGCCTCATTAAACGGCAGGCGCCCAGCCCCATCTGTGCCTCTGTCTTCAGCAAAGCTGTGACTTGGAACATTGTGCATGAGTAAGTAAAGCAGGCTGTAGCCAACCTGCCTAGGCAGAAGAGATTTTAAGAAGTAAAAACTCTTCCATTCCATTACTAAAAACCAGAAAAGCTCTTTTTTTTATTTTCAATTTTATTAATTTTTATTTACTTATTATTATTTTTTTTTGGCCTATCCGTGTACTTGTAAGAAAACCTCTTACCAGTAGGTATAAAATTCCTTTACAAATGCACTTCAATCCCAGAGATGAGTGTGCATGAAAAATGAGCAATGGTCCATTTAAGAATGAAAAATAGATTTCTGCCGTGTCTTCCCATAGTTATCTTTCATTTCAGGGGAAAGAGAGAAGTATTAATATTAGTTAGGTAATAATAGAATATACATCTACCCCTGTTCCATCTTTATAACTTGATTA